ACATTACTAAATATTACCAAAATTTCTCAGTCTGGGTTTATGGTTGAATCTAAGCATATTCTTAAACTACAAATATTATATCCAAAGATGCCACATTCCACACACTCGTCAGATTGACACTGCAAGAGTTGTTGTAACTGGCATTGCAGCATTTATGTCATCAAAAGTAAGGTGTCCACAGCAATCACACCATCCTTGCATCAGAAGATGTCAATAGTTTAAGACCCCCTGCCCGAGAAAAAAAATGGCTACATTGTTTTCCCAGTTGCATGAATATTGCTTGATGTTCTTCCCATCACGCTCATCCCCATATATATTGTGTATTCATGTTTCTCTTGCTATTCCCAATGTTGTGTGACTCTTCCCAGCTATTGTTGAAGCCTGTCTTTATGATTCTGTTATATTAGTTCAGAAATCTTTGAATGATACCATTATTGCTACTGAGAAACTGGCTTCTCTTTCTATTCTGGTCTTACGTTTGTATCTGGTTTTGTGGTAGTTTGTATATCTATGTTTGCTTTTACTTTTGTTATCTCTTATATTTCATCAGACTTCATCCTTTTTTCAGTAAAGCTTTCATCCTTTTTTCAGTAAAGCTATGGAAAAATTTTATTTCAATGCAAATGTTTTACTCTGGGTGGATTTCCATAGATGGGAGTTTCCTCTCAGTGCAAATTCTTCAGAATGGGGGCTTTCCTTCTATTGCAGCAGGTGAAACAAATGATAGTTCCTCCCTTCCCCATCTCCTGTAAGTTTAGCAACACCCTTGGCTGAAGCAATCTGCATTTTCAAAAGCTGCATTTTCAAGTCAAGGGCACACCTATTATATGCAACAATCCTGAGAACCTGAAAAGTACCTCCAAACTCTGGCCAATTTTATTAGCCAATCTTTCCCTACTCAGAATATCAAGCCCTGGGGTTACTATTCATCTGTGAGATGGCAGAGGCTCCCTGCTAAAGTAAGGGAAGCTATCCTGCTTCAATGGACAGCCTTCCAACCCACCAAGGGATGGTGGAGGTTGCTTTTGGCGGATCCGCCTGAGCCTAAGAATAATGAAAATGAACATTTCCAAAACTTTCCAGAATAGGATGACAGGACGTTTTTGTTGGCAATTAGTGTTTTTCCCTAATAACTTTGAAGTTCCATCTTAATGTAGTTCTTGATAGATGAGGATCAAAATATACATACCTCATTTTCAGGATTCTATAACCTAACCCTTTGCTCATTGCAATAAATATTCTACTTTGAATCTGCTTGAATCTTGGTTACCTGATTGTGAACTGCTGTAACAGATCAATGCTGCCCAGTAAAGTATGTAGATAGATGGATCTTTACCCACCAGCGCTCTGATTCTGCAGGCAAAGTGTATGTCTCCCAAATTCTGCTAGGGTTGAAGGAGTGGAAGTGGATGATTCTCAAAATTTCCCTCTGCAAAAAAGTGCTGACAGCGGCTGGAAAAATAACAGAGATTGCCTTCACCAAACACTACACATCCACAAACACAGTATCTATTGTGAGATTTGGGCTGATTTTAAATCTGAGTTTAATGGTCTTTAAATAAAAGACCTGTGTCCTCACTGCTTTTGAATATGGATCTGGAGTACTGAGCTGTACATAAAAATAGCTCAACTAACGATGGATGGTTACTCAGTGCTGTTGACATGTTAACTACCAGCTCCCTATCATTTCTGAAAGCTAGGTGTTTTTTTTTTAAAAAAGCTTTTATTTATTTTAATTGTAAAATTTTACTAGCTACCAATCTTGCCACACAGTAACTAACCATAGGTTTAGCATTCTTCTAAAAAAAAATCCTCCTTTACCATGTAGCTAACCCAGCACCTACCAACTGTTTTTCTAGATAATTGATGGGTTCTGATAGGTCAGGACTGAATGAGGTCACAGAAGAAGTGGTGAAAGACAACTCTTTATCCCCGTGATCACCAGACACCCGGTGGGTAAAGTGTCATCTCTCCCAGATTTTCCTGCAACTGAAAGCCTGGCAAATAAGTTATTGTTCATATTGAACATTTTATATTAATAATTCATTGTGCAGTGGTGTAGTTATATGTGAAGGCTGCTGTTTGGACTGTGAAGGCTGCTGTTTGGACTGATTCAGATGCCCTGGTAGGAATAGAAGGGGAACTGACTAAATTTGCAGATGATACTAAGCTGGCAGGAATAGCTAACACCCAAGAAGATAGGCTCAAGATCCAGATGGATCTTGACAGACTAGAACACTGGGCCGTATCTAACAAAATGAAATTCAATATAGAGAAAAGTAAAGTCCTACACTTAGGCAAGAAAAACCAAAAATATACATATAGACTGGGTGAAACCAGACTCAATAGCAGTAACTTGGAGTCTTAGTGGACAATTAGCTAAATATGAGCTAGCAGTGTGCAGCAGCAGCCAAAAAAGCTAATGCAATCCTAAGTTCCATTAACAGAGGGATACAATTGAGATCAAGTGAGGTACTAATACCACTCTATAAAGCCTTAGTAAGACCACACCTAAAGTACTGCATCCAGTTTTGGTCACCACATTATAAAAAAGATGTTTAGACTCTAGAAAAAGTACAGAGAAGAGCAACCAGGATGATTAGAGGACTGGAGACTAAAACATATGAAGAACGGTTACAGGAACTGGGCATGGCTAGTCTAGTGAAGAGAAGAACCAGGGAAGATATGATAGCAATCTTCCAATCTTTGAGGGGCTGCCACAGAGAGGAAGGAGTCAATCTATTTTCTAAAGCATCTGTAGGACAGACAAGGAATAATGGATGGAAACTGAACAAGGAGAGATTTAACCTAGAAATAAGAAGAAACTTTCTGACAGTGAGAACAATCAACCAATGGAACAGCTTGCCCTCAGAAGTTGTGGGAGCGTCATTACTTGAGACTTTCAAGAAGAGATTGGACTGCCATTTGTTAGAAATGGTGTTGGGTCTCCCACTTGGGCGGTGGTTGGACTAGATGACCTACAAGATCCCATCCAACTCTGATTATCTGTTATCTGTACCAAAGGATAGCTTGGTTTGAGCAGCACTTTTAGGTAGTATAAATATCACCATAGAACACCAGCAAACATTGAAGATCCCAGAAACTGCTCTAGCTGTTTGAGAGAGAACATTATTGACTGTACCCATATATATATCTTACAATGCAAATATTATTACTATCCAGGGGTGCCAAACTCTCTTGCATTGCGGGCCATATTGTGATGTATCACAATGTTTTTTGCCTTTGTGGAGCCAGGGTGGCCGTGGTCTGTGTGGGCCATATCTGACCCATAGGCCACCAGTTTGACAGGCCTACTGTACCCCATAAAGTATGATTTTAAAAATGCTATCAAAATGGCTTTTACAAAGAAAACAACACTAAGCAGACAATATAAAGCAACTCCTAATTTATTAGTACATCATCATAATCATTGCTGTCTTGCTGGCCAGCAGGAGTCACTGTTTTTGAAATAATGATGATATCATCATAGTCAGTCATAGTGCTTGATGCATTAATGTTGCTGCTGGCACTTTCTGCAAAGTCAATAGTAGTATAATGTAATTCAGAATGGCTGTCTGGTATTTTGTAAACTGTGTCCTCCTGATAAAAAGAGATTAATAATATTTTTCCATATTAGAGCTTTAATAATACATATGTTTCCTACACCTTAATTTAATGACTATTCTTAATTTGATTAATAACATGTGACTAGGTTTGTTCCCTAACTACAGTTCTTCCAATAATGTGGCTACCTTTATATTGGCTAGTCAAGGAATTAAACCTCAAATGTTAGTTAGATCTAGACTTGATTAGTGTTAATTAATGTAAAACTAAAGCCAGTCAAAATAAATGTAAAAGAATTGTAAGTTATGTGTACAAATCTTCATAGTACAGATGCATTAATTTCATTATGCTTTAAATTTGAAAAACAACAGTAGTCCCAGGTTTGGGCATTTTAATATGTACAACTGTCATTGAAAGTGTGGATAAATATCTTTTTTCTTCCTAGAATATGGGAATATTGCTCAAAAATATTGCTCACACACCAAGTCTAATTGAGTTACAAGGTGAAGGAATCAGTTATCTGATGTCATTAAATTATTCTGTTAAATCCCAGAGATTACTATTTTCAATGCTATGTTGTCCAAGTGGCTGCTGGATTCATTAGATGTGGGTTTTAACAGCCTCCTCTGCCTTTGATAAATACCTAGGAAGGTATTGTTTAGACATCTCTGTGGTCTATCACTCTTCCCCTTTCTCTTACAGTTGTAGCAATGCAACCATGTTAAAAGGCAGCAGAAATGGGTAAGGTGAGAATGCTGATCCTGTTTTGCTGATTCACTGCTGAAAGGAGCAGAGAGGAAACCAAGAAATGGAAAAAAAAACAAGTCCAGCTCTTCTATTTTCCTTCACAATAGTTGGGGTGGCTGTAAAAACATGTAAAAACAGTTGTCGCAAACAGTTTACTGTGCTAGCAATGCAAAAAGTAGGCAAGGAACAGGCAAGGAGACATCAGTTCTCTAGAAGAAGGGTGATCCAGAGCAACATCCTTCCTGATAACATTGTCGTGATAATTCAGGAGCCATTCTTAATAAAATTTCCAATTGAATTGGAAATGGCAATTAAATAGATTCAGGGCAGAGGTTAGATACACAATAAACCCCTTGTTCTCACAAAATTGTTCCCATGCTTACAAATAAATTTTCATATAAAACACAGTTTTATTGTACCCTAAAGAAAGTTGACTTTTTAAAACAGTTCCAATATTAAAGTCTAAAAAAATGGGTACCTTGCACCAATGTGTAATAACAGTAATAAAACAAATAATTCAAAACTAAAAGGGGAGAGGGTTGAATGAGAAAATGTAAAGCTTGCCAGTGAATGTAAGTCAAATGAATAAATCATAACTTTTCAGTCTTTCAATCTTAAAATTCATTTATTTAATCAGAAAGTAAGGAAACATTTTCAATCTTTATTGGAAATAAAATGAGAAATCCAAGCAAAACACTGTCCTATATTTGAGCAATTTATTTTTTACTTGCACTCAAAAATATGTAAGGGTGACAGTCACCAACAGTGGTGACAATAGGTGCAGCACCAAGCTGACTGCTGATTTTGAAAAGGTAAGTAGATGACCACTTGGCTATGATATCTTAGGAAAATCAAACTTTATAGACTGAAAAATGAAATACTCCCAGAAGAAGGCAAAAGCTAACCACTTCTCTTTTAGGGTTAAAAGAAAGCACCATAAAGCTGCAACAGACTCACAGGAGACCTGACGTTAAGGGAGGACAGAAGGGTATAACGCTTTCTTGGTTAAGCACTTTGGAAGTTCTGCAAAAAATAACTTTTCTGGAGCCTTTTTAAAATGCTGGATTGGACAAAGGCAGAATTTGTGTAATCCTTCCAGACTATCGTTTTCATCAATTTATTCTTCAATTTACAGAAGGCTGCAAAAGGAAGTTGATTTGTTGCAGAGTGGCAGACTTGCTGCCCTATTAGACTTAATACATAAAAAGGTAATAATCAGAGAAATAGAAATGTGATAAAATTAGACTATGAAAAGTATGAAAAACTAACTATAACGAAAACACTTGTATTAGCTGCAACAATGATAAACATTACTGATTCTGGAGCTTCCTTCTTTTAAATTATTTCTTCCATTTCTCAACAAACCACTCCACATCTTTCATTTTTATAAAACCATAAAATATCAAGATTGGAAAGAATTGTAGACACTCTGAATTCCAACTCTAAGTTTAGTCATTTTCTGAAACAACACCAATTGTGCTTTGTCTTTACATGATGGCCTTCAGTTAGGTAAAGACAGCTGTCGTGTCTCTTACAGTGTTCCAACTATCCATATGTTTTCCTTTCAGGCCACTTCTCATCTTGTTTGTTCTCATCTGGATATATTTCAGTGTATATCATTTTCTTTCATAAATATTGTAATATTTTTGTAATAAAAGAATATGCTAAATAGGATCTGATTAAAGCAGAATAAAGAAGCATTGAACTGCATTTACTAAATTTTGATTCATATTTAATTTGTAAGACATTAAGGTAACCATACATTTCATGCATGTCCAGCTGCCCACAACCTCAAATTTTTAGTGTTTGCTTACCAAATTGAAAGATTCTGCATTTGTCTCTGATAAAATTCATCTGGTTGGACTTTATTTGGATTTGCCAATCTGAATCTTGATGCTATTCTCCAGTATCTTTGTTATTATGCAGTGGTGTGTCATTAGTTGTAAAATTGTTTTATAACAAAAAAAAGTTTTTATTCATATATCCATTGTGGGGGGGATGTTGTTGAATCTTATATATTTTTTAAAATAAAAATCCCATTGGTCCTAGTAAAATATAGATATTGTTTTATGGATAGTATGATTGGTTGTACAGTCAGCCAGATGTTTAGACTAGATTTGACATTTTTATCCACCTATCCAGTCCTTCAAAAGGACCTTGGAGAAGTATGTTGTTTGATAGTATTAGAGATGTCATTGTAGGATATCTGCAATGTTCCAAATTAGCTGTTCAAGTGTTTTTCTAGTTGCTTTAGGCTTGCACCAAGGGAACCTATCACTTATTGGTACTATCTTTGCTGTCTTTTGCCACAGTTGTTCGATTTGTATTTGCGGGTCTTTATATTTTGTGTTTTTCTCATTCTTTCTGTTCTAATCTGTTCTTTCCAGATACTGCAATATCCATTATCTAGTCTTTTTTGCCTTTCATATTAACATTTGTTAAGTTGGGGTGTTATGTGGCAGATGCTTGTCTGTTTGAATTCTAAAGCCCAGAGTACTTTTAAGTTTTTGATTTTCTATTACTTTGTCTATTTTATGGTCCCACCAGTTTTTCTTTCAGGCAAATGGTATTTCTTGCAGAATTTCCAAAGCACCATTGCTGCTACTATTGTTTGTAGTCAGTCTGTGTGACTTTTTAGCATGGCAGTTTACATGGGAATTCCATTTTACCCATACAATACCAGCCTGTAAAATAGATTGTACTGGTCCAAAATCACTCCCTGAATTTCCATGATTGGGATAGATTGAACCTGAGTTTCTCAATTCCTAGTACAAATCCTAACCAGGCAACAATATCTTCAGATAATTCACTTTATAGATTCCTGTGCTGGTATATACCTCAGCCACATTCTCTTACCAAGCAAGCTTGGAACCAAAAAGTTAAACAAAATAGAAGACTACTTACATCTTTTCTCACTGCATGTCTTCTTCTAAAATGAGACCAAGGTTTTTTGCTGCAATAGAAATATTAAAGAAACAGCTAAAGGGTTGAACAGCCACAGTATTAATGATTTCATTATTTGAATTGGCATATTTATCAGTTTTCTGAATGTTTTCTTTATGAATTTTTCTTTTGGTTTTTGTTTGCTTTTGGTTTTTGACTATTTTAGATTTCTTTACTATGTCTTATCGTGACCTTTGTTAGTTTTATTATGGTACCATTTAAATATGGTACCATTGTTTATTTCTCCTTCTGCAATGTTCTGCAGTTAAAATCAAGACAAAACCAGTATCAGCATTCTACGCAATTTATTTGCTCTTTTGTCTTCACTATCTTTCTGCTTTGACTTTACTGTGCAATCTGTTCCTATCTTTTCTTCAATGATTACATTTCTGCTCTTTTTAGAAGGCACGTACAGTATTTTGATTAGGTTCTCAAAGCCTTACAGAATAATAAGCATATTTTGAGCCCACTGGTGATAATCATTGCTAATGATGGAAGATCCAGAAGGGGGAGATCAGATAACTAGTTAACTTTAACTAGTTGTTAAAGGCACAAACTCTGTTGTTACATACATTGTAAGACAATAAATGGTAAGTTATATTGCAATCCTATACATATGTAGTAGAGTCTCCTTCAAATGGAATTTTCCTTCTGCTGGCTGCATAAACATATTCATAGATGCTTTTTGGTAATGGTGAAGTATCTTACCATTGTCTTGTTTTTGGACATTTTCCCACTTCATATGGTAGCTTATGGTATTCCTTGGTAACCTCCATCCATGGATCAACCAGAACAAACTTTCACTTTCAATCCCAGGCAACATCAGGGGATGAATCAAGGACCTCATTTCTCATCTTTGTCCATCCATTCATCAGTCATTCAGACATTTACACAAATGTAGAATTTACAACATTGACTACATGAAAAGCATAATAAGCTGCACCTACTTCTGCTGGAACATAAAAATAATGACTCTATTTTCAAAATTATCCAGCAGTTATTCATAGGAAACATAGTTATTATGAATAAAGGTTATTTTCCATATTAGAAAAAATGAAATAAATTTCCAGCAAGTAATAAACAAATCATCACAATAGGAGAACATGTGACCTTGGCAATTGGCCAGATCGTGGGAAACTTGGCATTAATTATAGTATGTGTAAGGACTCAAGCTTAAAGTGAAACATTAACCTTGAAACAATTTGGAACTTACCTTTTTTTAACTATTTTGTTTCCCATGTCTTCTGTTCTGATAATACTAAATTAACTTCCCCTTTCTTCTGTCTTCTTTGGACCAGTTATTACAGTTGTACTGTTGGCTGGAAAGACCAAAAACTCCTGTCAGAAAGTCATAAGCATTCTTCCACAAGTTTGCTAGAATCAAAGTATCATCATGTTGCAATGTGGGGAAAAACTTCCGTATCATCTCTGGGGGTGTTGTTACCAAACAAATGACATCATTTCCCAACAGTATAAGAGAAACAGACTGCAATACATACTTAAATCTTGACTTTCTAGTAACCCTACTTACATATCAGCTAAAAGTTTTGCAGGAATCACAAGATAGAAACCTCAACCAGGATTTGTTTAGTAATCTCATAATCATAACAAGAAGATATGAAGTCCATTCCTTAGTTTTTGCATAGAACATGACAAACCACAGATCCACACTTATTCCAACAAAGCCAAAAATATTGAAGAAATTGAAAAGCAACTATTATTCAGGAAATACATGTAAATATAATGAACTAACGTTTCAGTCGAAATAACTTGTATTCATATAGCAGCAGCACAAACTTTTATCCTTTCAGGTAGTGGTTAGCAAGGCAACCACATCTTTCTTTTTATAGAATTTCTTGTCAACTGACAGCATGCGGTTTTAAAGGAAAATGGGCCTCATACCTAGTAGTAAACTAAAGTTGTCATATTGCTCAATAAACCATCTCTTTGAAAGAAGTGGAATAGTGAGGCCAGTGATTCTTTGTAACATGGGATTTTGCAATTGGCTTCAAGTGTTTTGTTTCCATTTATATTAAAACATTGGGAAATTCGGAGTAAACTCTGAGTGATCAAAAACATATGACTGAGTTGGACTACCCTATAGTTGTACATCTACAGTTACCTTAGATTGCGGAAAATTCAAACTGGATCCTGCTTTTGAGTAAGTAAATATAGGATTGAGTATATAAAAAAATCAAGTGTCATAGAATTCCCCTTGATGTGATTTTTTAAAGGACTTCCCCAAAATAATAACAAAACCAGCTTTCAGTTCTCTTTAATTGCTCTGTAATAAATTAAGATTCTCTATGTAACTTATCAGTGCCTTAACATCACACAGAGTTAAAATGATCTCTGTATTCCTTGTTATCTGTATTCTCTGGACTCAATACTCTGTAGGTGAGTTTTGAACAAATTTTTCAAATGCTGTAGTCAACCTGGTGCCCTCCAGATATTTTGGACTACAACTTCCACAGTTCCTTGCATCTAGTCCAACAGACTGAATCTAATGTAATTCGAAGTAGCCAGAGGAGAGCAATTTGTTTGCTAGTTGATTAGCTTTATTGCATGTTAATATTACAGACAAAGCCATGTGATTAGAAGACTTTCAGTGTTATTTCTCTGAGATATGATAATCTCAACTGTTAATTTCAATGTTTTTCTTATATGATGCCAATGATAACAGAATGGATTGAATGATAATGCCAGATTCAGATAAGGTAGAGAAAAAATATTGGCAGCAGGGCAATATCAGATTGTGGTATGTTACTAGGGCTTGCTAAATTATCTGATAAATTAATGCATGACTTTGACATAAAATATGGCTATTGCAAGTTAGAATGCAAAAGCTATTCTTCCAGGACACCCTATCTATGCTGGTTTGTCTCCATTACTACTGCTACTAGGCTAGAGGGTTATTTCATGTATTTATTTTTATTTATTACTATTTCTAGCTGCACCTAGAGGAGGGCTTAATTAAATAATCTTAAGGTTTGGGTAAGTACAATATTCAGAACACTGTGGATATGATGATATAAACTTAACTTATTTTCTCATTAAGAATTCATTTTTTAAAAGGGACTTCATAATTTAGTACCTTGAACTTTCCTTTCAGGTGGCACAGAAGTGATTTACAGGCCTGTTCAAACTATCACAACTGGAAAAAATGTGACTCTGTTCTGTCAGCTGGCCAAAAATCATGACATTATTCAGGTCACCTGGCAAAAAAACCAAACCAACATAGCAACTTACAGCAAAGCTTATGGAGCTAAAATACTGAGTAACCAGAGCAATATCCATCTTTCCCAGAGTGATTTGACTTTTTCTGCCATCACTTTCAATGGGGTGACATTCAAGGATGAAGACTGTTACAGTTGTATCTTCAATACATTTCCCTTAGGACCTATTTCAGGCAAGACATGTCTCAAAGTCTATGGTAAGTTATATGGTTTTATTGTCTGGATCTTCAACAATTGCAGATCATTTCATGCTAGCAGCATTACCTATAGCAGTTCTATAACATTTATAGGGTGCAATAAAGTGTTTCTCTGAACAAGAGAATAGTTTCTCTGAACTAATGTAAGCTGATTGCCTCTGTTCCATGACTTAAGGAAAATCTAATTAACTATGGTAATATCAGAAAAGAAGGAAATTTTATTACATACACACACACATTGCTGAACTGAATGAGGATTAGTGAAGTATGCATTATATAATTCCAGTATCTGGTCTCCTAAAGGCATTAATATCTATAATAAGGTGATTCAGTAGTTGTCATGATTATCTTGTAATGAATTTGGTTCTTTTTCTCTCTCTTTCCTCTTTCAGCTATGTTATCTTGAATTCTTATCAGTTGTGTGAAAAAAAGCCTGCAGATTCACCGCTTGATTTTTAAGGTTTCTCTAACACCTTTCCTGCCCCATATCTATTATCTTCTGCTTCTCTGACCTGTGTTCAAGTGTTTGCTAATAGGGAAAAAGAATTTTATGAAGGTTATTGTCTAAGAACTTGTTGCTTGTTCATCCTCTGTGCCAAAGCATATCACTTTTGAGAGATCAAAGCAGATCAGTATCATTCATGGTTGTTTTGCCGCTGGGTTCTTCTGATCAACACATTCCATCTTTCCTGTGACTTATCTACACTGCTTACTTGCCCTGTTGTCAGAATGGGCAGGCAACCATTGCTGAACAGCAGATATAGGTGATACTACTTTCTATTACTTACTTTACTCAACATAAAATAACAGGTGTTTTTCTGCTCCATTTCCAAAGTTCACCCTTCCATATTTTGCCAGCTTGGGTGTTTCTGTCCTTTTTGGGTAGTGTATTTTACTTTATTAGACGATAACCCTCACAGGTTGTTGGTGATGGTATTTCACAAAGACAGGAACACTCCTTGAATCAAATGTTTACTATAGCTTATATCTTTTAAAGCTACTGACACCAGGTATGTTTGAAGACTCATATAACAGAAATCCAGGGGATGATTAGAATTAGAAATCTGAATTGTTTTGTATAATAGGATATGTTTGGCTAAAATAGGACTGAGTAATTTTTAATTCACATATTTTTTGTTGTGTAAGTGGTCCACCGTATGATACCATAATATTAATATGGAGGTTTTGGAGGAGGGGTTATACCAATTATATAAACACTGTAATTATGTTTTTCAATACACATTTAGTTGTGTTATGTAAGTTAGCCAATAAAAGTTCAAATTTCAGCCCAGTTTAAGTAAGAGCTATTATGATCACATTTTAATCATCATTCCTTCTCTGAACTAATAATTAATTTAACAATTGTTTAACATAGTCATAAAAATCTATGATGCCTGCCTTTAGATAATTTGTGGCATCTTTTGCAGTGTTGATAAAGAAAATAAGGCAATTTCACAATACAAGAACATATGGTGTTTGTTTACATGCTAGGGTAAAAGTAAAGACTCCCTTGGTCCCAGCTCATCTCTTGGAAGTTATATGCACTGCTCCTATCACTTCCCTGTTAACTGTAGGGAAGTGCTTGCTATTTTTTCAGGGTGTTTTTTGATATATCACCATAACCGTCAACTCTAAAAATTTTAGTGGTCTCCCACCTAAGTGGTAACCAGGTCGTACCACGCATAGCTTTTCAACATGTCAGCTAACAGATACTGCTGTGCCATGGAGTTTTGCATGCTATGCCATGGAATTTTGAGACACTATCAACTTTCCTTCCTTTTCTGTGACAATTTCTGTGATTATGGTATACATCAAAAGACTCTCTAGCTGAAATCCCTGGAAACCTCCTAATTAACAGTGGAAAGGAGGGTGGGATGGCTAATACTGGGCAACAGAAGAGCACTCTTTTTCAACTCTACGTTATCCACTTAAACTGTACCTCTACTGTGTTCATGCAACCTGATTCTATGCTGTTTTAACACATCTTTGCTTGGATTGAGATTCTTTGGCAACAGTTTACAAGATATTTAATCCAAACTGTAAGGTGGCCGATCATCCTTCGGTGTTGGGCAATACTGCTGCTGCGCACTCCTGTTTCAGTAGCAACCAAATCACTTGCCATCCTGTGAGATTTAGGTTGGGAAACCTAATAATCATAATCAGCCTGTGGCAGTGAACTCTGTAATTTCTATATATGATTGTGAGTAACTATCGATTGTGGGTATTACCATTTAATCCAGCTCAGCTAAAAAGAGGTGAATCATTGCTGACCATATTAAACATGCACTCAACAGCAATGCAATAGGTAGCATGCTATCTGGACATGTGTTTTATCAATTTTGTACCTGTACTAGACCAGATAGTGGTAGCTAATCACCTCTACATAAACAGTGTCTTTCTAGGTTCTCTGCCTTCTGTCTCACCCTAATGGCCCATGTTAATGAGGAAATCCTTCCCTGTATTGCTGTCTCCTCTCTGATGTTGCTTAATAAATGAGTAATTTAGTTAATACTAAATACCATGTCAATCGAATTCATCAGAAGCAAGAATAATAGAATTTTTCTTACTCCCAAAGCACAGTAAATATTAATTGAACAATTTGTTTTGAAGCTCTAACAGAACCTGAAATAAATGTAAGACAAGTTCCTAATCTGGATAATATGGAAAAAATAAGAGAAATAAACTGTTCGGTAACAGGAAGACCAACTCCAGTAATTACCTGGAAGATGAAGAAACCTCTTCAGATAAAGCCAAAATCACATATGATTTCACACTCAAATAAGACAGTAACTGTTATCAGCACGTTTACTCAAGTCTTGTCCAAGACAGTCTCAGAAAATTCAGTAATCTGTGTTATTCAACATCCATCTCTAAACACTTCACAAGAGTTGATGTTATCTGAAATTGTAAGCAAACAAGGTGGGTTTAAAGTCAGAAAATCCATTCTTTTCCTCCCCTTTCTCTTTCCATATCCTTTCCCTGCACCTACTCTCTATTCTCTTGTCTTATCGTAGTTTGTCTTAGAAGTTACCTATTTTTCTTTGTGAGCATTTTCTTCATGTGCTTATTATTTCATGAGCTTATATAGGTGAGCCCAAAGGATGCCAGTCATTTCCTTGATCAAATCTATAATTTTCTAAAGGTGTTTTTTAAAACTAGACTTGCTAATTTAAACAAAAAACAAAATATCTTAGAACAAACCTACTTTCCTAGCTTGTTTCTATTACAGATGCATTAGAGATTTTAACTTGCAGAATTTCTAATTGGCATCTCTAAAGGCAAGCCATTTCACTGACAAATAGATAAAGAATGCTTATTGTGAAGAATGCATTTAAAAATTGTATTTCTGTAGAAGTTTATTAGGAAAAAAGCTCATTATATGATTTCTGGACTTTTTCCAGTTATTATCATTACTGCTACAATTTGATCCATCATCTGTATTAGAAATATTGATAATACTGAATGGATCTAGTTCAAACTATGTCTCGAGGATTCTTTGATAAAGCCAGATTTTAATGCAGTTCTATGCGCAACTGATCTTTTCTATTTCTTCTTTTATTATTTCATCAGCCAATTATTAATTATTATTTTTTCTTTACAGCCCCAAACAAACATCAAAGAATTGTTATTGCAACTGTCTGTATACTGGTTTCCCTATTTGTCCTTGGGTTATTTATCTTTTTCATATGCTGGTATAGGAGACGAGCACTAATAGAAAAAGAGCAAGATCTTCCATGCTGGGTAAGTCTCAAATATATCCCATAGTGTCTATGGAACGATGAAAGCACAGTTAGGTTAATTATAGGAGATAATTAGAGCTAATTTCAACTTCAGTCCTCTATATATTTGAACAACAGATCTTGCTGATCAAAATGAGCAACAAAGTGAGGGGATACAACTGAATATATCTACATATATATACACAGGATCTTCATGAAGGAGATTGGTAAAGGAAGGATAGCCAATGGACAGAGAAGCAAAAATAAAAACAAATAAGGGAAGGCAGATGTGATCTAGACTTTCAATATCACTTTTTAGACGGATGAGAAAGGCAAGATCAGGATTTTCAGTTTGGCTTGCCTCGAAAATGCACCAAAATCCGTGATCGTGCATGCTCTTTCATCAGAGGGTCCCGATCGTTTTGATTTGAGACCAGAGCCACCTTGTAGGGGTGGCGAAGAAAGGGGAGACAGCCGGCTGAGTCAAGGGGAGCCTCATTCCCCCTCCTTGGCTTGGCAACCATTCCTCTCCAAAGACGACTGCAGCAGTGGCCAGTAAAATGGCCACCCTGAAGAGGTAAGCCGAATGGACAAGATAGTGCAGGAGCGGTGAATGAAGAGTACAGCATAGAAACCAGGAGAATTTTGGCATAAAGTACCCCGGATTTAATTTTTTTTTAATTGTTAAGAAAGTGGATTTAAGCGACGGACAAAGAAATTAAGAAAGAAAATATGTGACAGCTGAAGTGGCTTTGTACCTTAAAGGAAGAAGCCAGAAGAAGAAGCTTGCATTTGAAATAATTAAATATATAACCCTGACACTAAACAGGTTTATTAAAGCTGGACTGGGCTGTGTCAAGGTGGAAAATGGAACTTGAAAACTGACGTTTGGATTTATTGATATTGGAACTTTAAAATTTGATTTTTTTTTGGTTGAGAAAAAGCTGGGGAAAAAGAAAAAGAATTGACTTTGAAAAAAAGAAAAAGAATTGACTTTGAATACGGCGAAGAGTGCTATCTAGTGGAGAAGGGAATTGTTTATATCTCTTTCTATTTTAAAACTTGGATCCGTTAAAGACCTACTTGATACAAAATAACCGGAATTAGGACATTACAAAATAGGGACTCTGGAAAGTGAAAGTGAAATCTAAAAACAAAGGGAAATTGTGGATTTGTTTGGTGTTTTTGAAGCATAACTTTAATTTATGGACATTGAAAAGTGGAACTGATCTGGAAATCTTCGGAAGAGAAATCAATAAGTTAAACATTGGGGAAATTTCATAAATAGTGTTTAAAGATGGCAGGAAAGCTACTGGAACTTAAATTGGAACTTAGAAACTTGAAAGATATGCTCCAAAAAGAAGGCAAATCATTTGGTTTTGCATTGCAATTTTTGGAAATGGAAGTTTCAAAATACCAAAAACAACAACAAGAAAAGAAACCATCGCAAGAAGTGACCATCTTAAAGGAACATTTGAAACAACGGAAACTTAAGCAAAGGGGGAAAGAAAGAGAATTAATAATAGAAGGTTTAACATTGTAACTAAAAGGGGGTTTATTTTAAAAACCGAACAAAAGGAGAGAAAACAGCAGGAAAGGAAATTTCAGAAGGGAGCAATGGAAAAGGAGGGGGATAGAAATTGGAGTGATAAAAAGAGGGTAAGAATGAAACAGGATCAGGAAAGAAAAAAATATGGCAAGCACATAAAAATGAAATGGAATTGTTTGAAAGACACAGAGATAATAGTTGATTGAGATTTAAAAGAAGGGAATTCTGCAAGTGTATAAGGATTAGTTTAAATAAATAAGAAATAATAAGACTGTTTAGAAAATAGTGGAATATAGATTATTAAGATGGGAGATAGGGACTGATACTGTTTTATTATTGTAGTGATTATTTGTCTCTTTTTCTTTATTGTATGAAATTAAGAGAGGTAACCAAAATAAAGATATTAATAACATTGGCTAGTCTAGTAAAGAGAAGGACCAAGGGAGACATGATAGTGGTCTTCCAATATTTGAGGGGCTGCCACAGGGAAGAAGGGGTCAAGCTATTTTCTAAAGTGCCTGTAGGCCAGACAAGGAATAATGGATGGAAACTGAAGAAGGAGAGATTTAACCTGGAAAAAAAGAGAAACTTTCTGACAGTGAGAACAATCAACCAGTAGAAACGCTTGCCCTCAGAAGTTGTGGGAGCGCCATCACTTGAGACTTTCAAGAAGAGATTGGACTACCATTTGTTAGAAATAGTGTAGGGTCTTCTGCTTCGGCGGGGGGTTGGACTAGATGACCTACAAAGTCCCTTCCAACTCTGATTATCTGTTAAATCTGTTAAATAAGTTAAGGCAAACAAAGTAGAAGTAATGTTAAAGGGAAAACAGTGTTAGTTCTTATGAAATGATGGGATTAATTATGTTGTTTTGTTTATAATTTTCTTAACTTGAATATATCTTGTATGGAATAAGAAGGGGAACTTGCAGACCCAGGCTTAAAATAAACATATATAATGTAGTAATTATTAGAAAGTGAATATTGTGGGGTTTTTTTGTTTTGTTCCCCCTTTTTAAAGTATTAACTCAAAATTAAACTATGGGAATCTTATGGAGGGATTAATTATGTGATATGTTAACCACAGGGATGGAAGCTTGAAATTGGCAATAATAGGGGTGTTGCTTTGTTGTTGTTTTCTATGTTGGAAATGTGTGAATTTTTGGAATGATGAATTAAGTATAGATAAGTAAATTGCAGACCTGACAGAAAAGAATATAAAATATAATGAATATGAAGATATATAATGATGCACTAAGGATTTAAAGAACTAGATTAAGCAATGTTTTGGAAAATTCATGAAATAAGATGGAAAAAGTTCGATGATTAAAATTAAAGAAAATATATAAAGTAAGATCAAGACAAGTTATCAAATGTGAAAGATGAGTAGGAAATGAAAGTCAAACTTGTAATGGAAATGTGTTAACCTGGGATCATGCTGTTCACTGAAGAAAAGGGTTTTTTTCTGCAATATGTGAAAATTGAATAAAACCTTTTCAAACAAAAAAGAGAAAGGCAGGATCACTTTTATACAAATAGCTGATGGGTACACTGCGTAATATGATGGAATTGTTGGGGATAGAATTGATGTTTCTACCCATCCAAGCAATAAGAAAAGTGATCTCTATTTCCATGCTAATTTTACCAGCAGAAAAATAGAATCTGCAAGTGAAGTGATTCCAATCAATAATGGTCCCAAGCAATATTAGCAGAGTACTTCAAGTTCTGAAATCAATAAGCAGCTTTTTTTCAGCTGAAATTTCTGCTCTAAACAGATTATAATTTTACAGTCTAGAACTTCTCCTTAATTCAGCCTTAAAAATGTGTTATTTCTCTGCCAGGTTGTTCCACTTTGTTCTGGAAAAACATCATGTAGAAAAAATGGCTACACAAAGAGAAAGGCCCCTATGAAATCACTTGCTGAAAGAAAGTTTCTGGACACATGAAACATTTCTATACAAAACATGAAATCACATGATGGAAAGGCATGAACACATAGCTCTGAGCATAGACAGGAGCATGCAACCAGCAGGCTGGTTAGCACCTAAAGGACCTCTCCTTGCCTTTTAATTAATTTTCAGCATTCTTTGCCTCTTTTAAATATTATATATAGTTTTTATGCTTTTAATATTATATTTGTATACTGCCCAGACTCCTTCTGTGAGAGAGATGGGTGATTCCTAAATATACTAAATAAATAAATAAAAACAATAATATTTTCCCTATGAATACTCCTTATTCTGGATTTTTTTTTCCAAATTAGGTATTGCCTATGTGTTTACAATTAATGTTTATGAGCCATACTCTATGTAAGGCATACTGATAACCAGAAACAAAGCTAAATAATATAGTAACATCCAATAAAAATGTTTATTTGCAAATGAGGCTGTATTGTTTTATTTACTACTTATTCTATTCCTTTCAGCAATCAGTAATTGATGATAATCAGATAATTAATGATAATTTCTAAATAATTCCATTTACGACAATTGAAATGATCCTTATGGTGAAAATAACACAGGACAGTATTACAGCTTTGCTAAAGATACAATTCCAGTTCCATTACAGAATTGTAAAAGATGACTTATGTGAAATTTTGAAATAAAAAACAAAATGCAAGCAAGAGAAACACATACACACAATTACAACTTCAAGAATATAACAATGTCACTACTGAAATATATTAATTATATCAATGGAGACTGCTGAGCTGATTCAAAATGTGGTGGGCAAATAATTATGGATGCCCCTTCATGTGTTATAAAATATTTCTGCTAAGTGAACGTACTTAGGTGAAATTCAAGATGCTGTTTGCTATATATAAAGCTTGAATGGCTTCCAGGCCTGACTATTTACATTCTTGTCTATCTTCAGCTATGTCTATGTACCTGACAAGTTATGACAAAATTGACATATTTTGGATCCCTGTCTATTAATTCATGTTACAGCACAGAGCCCCATTTGTTCTCATCCTGTATCATTCAAGACAGTCTTAAATGTTTCATTCCTTCCACGGGAACTAGGTTTCAACATTGTGCAAATGTACCATTAGTTAAAAGAGATTTGTTTTGAGTTATCTCTTCACACAGCAAGAAATTTTTAATGCTTGTAAGCTAGCCAGAACGTTGTCAATGTGGCAGCCACAGAAACCAAATGAGTATTATCCATTGTCTATCATACGTTGTTTGTGAGACAGTAAAGTCAAACCAATGAATCAGTAGTTATTTTTTACTGTTACGATCACTTACGTCCCACTTGGTGGGACTTTATCATTGTTTTTAAGTTTGCTTTATTGTAAACTATTGAAAGACTTTATATACTGGCAGTATGGTAAATGTTATTGTATTAATAAAATAATAAAAATATACATATTTAAAAAATTACTTATACAGTTTAGATGTGTATATGACGTAGCTGATAATAAATAGAAAACATCAATATTTAAAATGCTACTGCAGCTCTTTTTACTTGTGCCAATCCCTTTTTTAAAATGCATGTTTATGTTAAAACAGTGATGATGTCATTTAGAGAAGAGAGATGTACATTTACCATTGTACATAAATGGTGAGGAGGTAGAGAGGGTTGGTAGTTTTAAATTTCTGGGCACTTATATCTCGGAGGACCTCTCATGGACTATGAATGCTAACATGCTTGTAAAGAAGGCACAGAAGAGGCTATACTTCCTGAGAATGTTCAGGAAGATAAATCTATCTCAGTATCTACTTCTGTCCTACTACCGCAGCACTATTGAGAGTGTCCTGACATACTGCAGCTCTACACAGAATCATTAAAACTGCCCAGTATATTATTGGGCGCCAACTACCAGCCCTGGATGACATCTTCACATCTTGCTGTTTGAGGAAGTTGCACAACATTCTCAGAGACTCTTCCCATCCTGCTTACAATCTTTATGAATTGTTGCCTTCTGGCAGAAGATACAGAACAATTAAAACTCGAACCACATATTTTCTGAATAGTTTTTATCCCAGAACTATAATTGCACTTAACAATGAATTTAAGGACCACCATCAGTGAGCTGTTGGACAGTATTACTTGGTCTGTTGTGTGGATGCTTGTGTGTTTTTTTAGGAGGCGGGGAATTTTGGTGGATGGGGAGGTGTTTGGGGATTGTTGAGTCTGGTTTCTGGGTGTTATGTGAATTTTGTTGTATGTATACTGTGTATATATGTACAATGACAAAGAATTCAATGTCTAATGCCCATTGTACCTTTTGAAAAAACAATTTGATTTTCATAAAACAAAGAAAACCTTTGCATGATGAAAGCCTGAGGGTTTTCACTTGAGGGATAAATGACCTGGTTCATAGTTGCCTGCATTTCAAAGTATTCTACATTATGCACAGAACATTCTGGAAAAGGCTTTAATGCCAGGAAAGGTGGAAGAGAGAGAAGAAAACATGAATAGCAGCAAAGTAAGTGAATTCAGATATAGTGGTGATGAGCACAAAGACCTGAAAGAATAGGTTAGGGACAGTGGTTATTAGGAGTCTAAAATGACTCGATAATACGTAAAAAAAGAAAAGAAAATTCAAAGTTTCTGCATGATTCTAAGGCTAGTTCACAGAAAATACTAAATTGTAAGCACAGATTAACAGATCAGATCTGCTGTGCTCACATAATGTTTAACAGAATGTGTGGATGACCTCAGGGAACGAGGAGCTGAGATGGTGCCTAGGAAACCATCAGACAAGAGAGGCAGGAGCCCCGGCAACTTAACGTTCAGAGAAAGAAACTTAGGAAGGACATGCCGTAATTGATCAAGCGGTTAAAAGTAGCTACAGGAAATGTCAGAGTTGCAAGACTGATGTCAGCTTTCCCAGATAAACCAGATAGAACTAATTCTACTTTGTTGTAGGTCTACATTAAGAGAACCTTTAATTCCTTGTTTAGCATTTGCTTTGTTTACAGTTCACAGTTGTAATTCACAGTTATAACAACGAGGAAGATGTAAATTGACCACCAATCTTCACAATTATGACTTCTACAGACCATGCTTCAATCACATGCAACGGACTGATTGCTGCTGATTGCAGTAGCAATCAGTCAGTAGGGTCTTCAGCTCCATGCCTTTTCTTCTCCCTCTTTTGCCTCTTCTCTCTCCTGAGCTGAACTGAGGTCCCTGTCCTGTGGAATAGCATCCCTCTAAAATCCTTGCAGATCCAATCCTGCTGCTCTTTAGGAAGGCTGTGAAAACCTGGCCCTGGACACGGTATCTTGTAACTTCCATTGGAGTGCTTTACATGGTACTGTCAATTTGCCAAGTAGGGGTGTTATTTTTTTTTTTTATGTTTGATTTGATCTATTGCTCATCATGTGCATTGCCTAAGTGGTTTTGGCAGTTGAGGCACTTAAGAAATGGGTTAAAAAAAAGAAATAAATGGATAAATAAACTCTCTCATCAAACTTTTCTTCTTAATGTATACAAGCTCCCTTGAGTTCTGAAGGTTCCCCCTCCCCCAAATCCAACCTGCGCTTACATGAAAGAGAAATGTAGATGATTACTAATAGTATATTTGGAGCAACTCATACAAACCCCACAATCCTTTCCAGTGTGTTTTTCCCCCTTAGGCTTTCATTTAAAAATAACAGGGAAGCTAGATATAATTGCATGATTCACTAAGGAAACCATTTCTGATAGCACTCAGAGATAAAGTAGAACCATCACAAACTGTTTCTTCTCATCTCCTGCTCCATCTCTGCTAAAAATATTGTGGCTGTTGTGGAGCGGCGGAGATACATGGTAGACACAGAGCTTCAGAAAGCTTTATTCAGCGAATAAAGGATTGCTGCGGCTGCCGAAGCTAACAAGGCAGATCAGCTGGCGGCAACAGCTGATGCCGTTTGACAGCTCCTTTTATAGCCAGCTGTCAAACGGCATCAGTCAATGGGAGCGATCGGCGCTCCCGCCAGAACTGCGGACCTGAGTGGGGACCGCAGTCAGTTCTGTGAACACAACACTCCTTTCCCCTGGCCAGGAGCATGCGTAGTCTTGTAAATAGGCCGGCCACCTGTGTTGACGGCTGGACTGTCTTAGTCCTGGGGAATCTCCAGCTGGGGTAAAGTCCTTTGCCCCTGGGATCGTCCTGGAAGCTGCAGGGGTGTGAGTCCGATCAGCTGGAGCCTGCAGTGGTTCAGGTAGGTTATCCCATTCGGCTCGCTTCGGGCGCATCATCCGGCTGGATCGGTAGACCGGGTCGTTTGGTCGGGAGTCCCTAGCGTTCCTTTGGTAGACCGGGTCGTCAGGCAGGGAACCTCTGGCGTTGGCTGGGTAGATTGGGTCCTCGGCTTTCGCTGGGTAGACCGGACCCTTGGTGTCTGCTGAGTAGACCGGACCCTCGGCGCTTGCTGGGTAGATTGGACCCTGGGCATTTCCTCGGTAGACTGGTTCCTCGGAGTTTGACAGGTAGACCGGGTCGCCTGGCTGGGAAACGTCATTTGCTGGGTAGATTGGGCCGCTCGGCTGGGTGCGGGAGTCATCAGTAGTCCCTCTCCAATGCCTCCTCAGCTGGTCCACGTGTCTGCACCACATACGACCATCGCTTAGGAGGACCCTGTAGGATCTTGGCCCTGTAACTGATATAACCTGTCCTGGTACCCATAACGGGTTCCCTGCATAATTCCTGGCATAGACCAGGTCACACAGGGCAAATTCACTGGCAAGGCTATCAGAACCCAAGGGGGGTGTCAGAGGTGTAATAGGGGTGCAATCTGTCCAAGGTGGTCCTAAGACGACTGCCCATTAGTAATTCTGCTGGTGACTTGTTTGTCGTGGTGCAGGGGGATATATGCTGGGTCAGAAGGTATCTGGATAGTTTGGAGTGCCAGTCTATCTGGACAAACCTTGCTAATGCTTCTTTTACTGACCTAACTGCCCTCTCAGCCACCCCGTTGCTAGCAGGGTGAAAAGGGGCTGTGAGGATGTGCCTGATGCCCAGGTTGGCAGCGAATATTTCAAATTCACAAGAGGTGAACTGGGGGCCATTGTCGGACACCAATGTATCGGGAAGGCCATGGGTGACAAATACCTGGGTCAGGGCCCTAGTGATGGCCAGAGTGGTTGTGGAAGGAAGTAGGGCCAGGTCAATCCATTTAGAAAAAGAGTCCACTAAGACTAGGAAGGTCCACCCATGCACTGGTCCTGCCAGGTCGATATGTAGGCGAGACCAAGGCCCCCCAGCATCCTCCCACCTGGTAGGGGTGGCTGCTGGTGGGGCTGGTCTGGTAGCTTGGCATGGTTGGCACGAGCTTACCTAGCTGACCTAGCTTACCTAGTGAGCAAGGATTTGACTGATTTGAAAGCATGGGCTTCCCTAGGTCCCCAAT